TATTCCCAGCCCCCTCCCCCCCCCATGTACATAAGTATTCCCAGCCCCCCCCCCATGTACATAAGTATTTCCCAGCCCCCACCCCCCCCCCCATGTACATAAGTATCCCAGCCCCCCCCCCCCCCATGTACATAAGTATTCCCAGCCCCCTCCCCCCCCCCATGTACATAAGTATTCCCCCCCCCCCCCATGTACATAAGTATTCCCAGCCCCCCCCCCCCCCACATGTACATAAGTATTCCCAGCCCCCCCCCCCCATGTACATAAAGTATTCCCAGCCCCCCCCCCCCATGTACATAAGTATTCCCAGCCCCCCCCCCCCCCCCATGTACATAAGTATTCCCAGCCCCCCCCCCCCCCATGTACATAAGTATTCCCAGCCCCCCCCCCCCCCATGTACATAAGTATTCCCAGCCCCCTCCCCCCCCCATGTACAATAAGTATTCCCAGCCCCCTCCCCCCCCCCCCCCATGTACATAAGTATTCCCAGCCCCCTCCCCCCCCCCATGTACATAAGTATTCCCAGCCCCCCCCCCCCCCCCATGTACATAAGTATTCCCAGCCCCCTCCCCCCCCCCCATGTACATAAGTATTCCCAGCCCCCTCCCCCCCCCCCCATGTACATAAGTATTCCCAGCCCCCCCCCCCCCCCCCCCATGTACATAAGTATTCCCAGCCTCCCCCCCCCCCCCCATGTACATAAGTATTCCCAGCCCCCTCCCCCCCCCATGTACATAAGTATTCCCAGCCCCCCCCTCCCCCCCCATGTACATAAGTATTCCCAGCCCCCTCCCCCCCCCCCCCCATGTACATAAGTATTCCCAGCCCCCCCCGCCCCCCCCCCCATGTACATAAGTATTCCCAGCCCCCTCCCCCCCCCATGTACATAAGTATTCCCAGCCCCCCCCCCCCCCCCCCCCCCCCATGTACATAAGTATTCCCAGCCCCTCCCCCCCCCCCCCCCCCATGTACATAAGTATTCCCAGCCCCCTCCCCCCCCCCATGTACATAAGTATTCCCAGCCCCCCTCCCCCCCCCCCCATGTACATAAGTATTCCCAGCCCCAGCCCCCCCCCCCCCCATGTACATAAGTATTCCCAGCCTTTGCCATGACGCTCAGCATTGAGCTCTGGTGCATTTGGTTCCCACTGATCATCTTTGAGATGTTTCCACAACTTGATTGGAGTCCCACCTGTGGGAAGTTCAGCTGATTGGAGTCCTCCTGTGGGAAGTTCAGCTGATTGGAGTCCTCCTGTGGGAAGTTCAGCTGATTGGAGTCATTCCTGTGGGAAGTTCAGCTGATTGGAGTCCATCCTGTGGGAAGTTCAGCTGATTGGAGTCCACCTGTGGGAAGTTCAGCTGATTGGAGTCCACTTGTGGGAAGTTCAGTTGATTGGAGTCCACCTGTGGGACGTTTAGTGGATTGGAGTCCACCTGTGAGACATTCATGAAAATGGATTGGAGTCCCACCTGTGGGACGTTCAGTGGATTGGAGTCCACCTGTGGGAAGTTCAGTGGATTGGAGTCCACCTGTGGGAAGTTCAGTGAATTGGAGTCCACCTGTGGGAAGTTCAGTGGATTGGAGTCCACCTGTGGGAAGTTCAGTGGATTGGAGTCCACCTGTGGGGAAGTTCAGTGGATTGGAGTCCACCTGTGGGAAGTTCAGTGGATTGGAGTCCACCTGTGGGAAGTTCAGTGGATTGGAGTCCACCTGTGGGAAGTTCAGTGGATTGGAGTCCACCTGTGGGAAGTTCAGTGGATTGGAGTCCACCTGTGGGAAGTTCAGTGGATTGGAGTCCACCTGTGGGAAGTTCAGTGGATTGGAGTCCACCTGTGGGAAGTTCAGTGGATTGGAGTCCACCTGTGGGAAGTTCAGTGGATTGGAGTCCACCTGTGGGAAGTTCAGTGGATTGGAGTCCACCTGTGGGAAGTTCAGTGGATTGGAGTCCACCTGTGGGAAGTTCAGCTGATTGGAGTCCCTCCTGTGGGAAGTTCAGCTGATTGGAGTCCTCCTGTGGGAAGTTCAGCTGATTGGAGTCCACCTGTGGGAAGTTCAGCTGGATTGGAGTCCACCTGTGGGAAGTTCAGCTGGATTGGAGTCCACTGTGGGAAGTTCAGTGATTGGAGTCCACCTGTGGGAAGTTCAGTGGATTGGAGTCCACCTGTGGGACGTTCAGTGGATTGGAGTCCACCTGTGAGACGTTCAGTGGATTGGAGTCCACCTGTGGGAAGTTCAGTGGATTGGAGTCCACCTGTGGGAAGTTCAGTGGATTGGAGTCCACCTGTGGGAAGTTCAGTGGATTGGAGTCCACCTGTGGGAAGTTCAGTGGATTGGAGTCCACCTGTGGGAAGTTCAGTGGATTGGAGTCCACCTGTGGGAAGTTCAGTGGATTGGAGTCCACCTGTGGGAAGTTCAGTGGATTGGAGTCCACCTGTGGGAAGTTCAGTGGATTGGAGTCCACCTGTGGGAAGTTCAGTGGATTGGAGTCCACCTGTGGGAAGTTCAGTGGATTGGAGTCCACCTGTGGGAAGTTCAGTGGATTGGAGTCCACCTGTGGGAAGTTCAGTGGATTGGAGTCCACCTGTGGGAAGTTCAGTGGATTGGAGTCCACCTGTGGGAAGTTCAGTGGATTGGAGTCCACCTGTGGGAAGTTCAGTGGATTGGAGTCCACCTGTGGGAAGTTCAGTGGATTGGAGTCCACCTGTGGGAAGTTCAGTGGATTGGAGTCCACCTGTGGGAAGTTCAGTGGATTGGAGTCCACCTGTGGGAAGTTCAGTGGATTGGAGTCCACCTGTGGGAAGTTCAGTGGATTGGAGTCCACCTGTGGGAAGTTCAGTGGATTGGAGTCCACCTGTGGGAAGTTCAGTGGATTGGAGTCCACCTGTGGGAAGTTCAGTGGATTGGAGTCCACCTGTGGGAAGTTCAGTGGATTGGAGTCCACCTGTGGGAAGTTCAGTGGATTGGAGTCCACCTGTGGGAAGTTCAGTGGATTGGAGTCCACCTGTGGGAAGTTCAGTGGATTGGAGTCCACCTGTGGGAAGTTCAGTGGATTGGAGTCCACCTGTGGGAAGTTCAGTGGATTGGAGTCCACCTGTGGGAAGTTCAGCGGATTGGAGTCCACCTGTGGGAAGTTCAGCTGATTGGAGTCCACCTGTGGGAAGTTCAGCGGATTGGAGTCCTCCTGTGGGAAGTTCAGCTGATTGGAGTCCACCTGTGGGAAGTTCAGCGGATTGGAGTCCACCTGTGGGAAGTTCAGCGGATTGGAGTCCACCTGTGGGAAGTTCAGCGGATTGGAGTCCTCCTGTGGGCAGTTCAGCTGATTGGAGTCCACCTGTGGGAAGTTCAGCTGATTGGAGTCCACCTGTGGGAAGTTCAGTTGATTGGAGTCCACCCCGCGGGAGTTCAGTGGATTGGGGTCCACCCGCGGGACGTTCAGTGGATTGGGGTCCACCTGTGGGAACGTTCAGCGGATTGGAGTCCACCTGTGGGAAGTTCAGCGGATTGGAGTCCACCTGTGGGAAGTTCAGCGGATTGGAGTCCACCTGTGGGAAGTTCAGCGGATTGGAGTCCACCCGTGGGAAGTTCAGCGGATTGGAGTCCTCCTGTGGGAAGTTCAGCGGATTGGAGTCCACCTGTGGGAAGTTCAGTGGATTGGAGTCCACCTGTGGGAAGTTCAGTGGATTGGAGTCCTCCTGTGGGCAGTTCCGATTGGAGTCCACTTGTGGGAAGTTCAGTGGATTTGGGTCCACCTGTGGGACATTCAGTGGATTGGACATGATCAGGAAAGGCATACACCCGTCTATAGAAGGTCCCACAGGTCACATGTCAGAGCACAAACCAAGCCATGAGGTCCAAGGAATCGTCTGTAGACCTCCCAGACAGGATTGTATGAAGGCACAGATCGGGGGAAGGGTACAGATCGGGGGAAGGGTACAGATCGGGGAAGGGTACAGATCGGGGGGAATCGGGGGGAAGGGTACAGATCGGGGGAAGGGTACAGATCGGGGGAAGGGCACAGATCGGGGGAAGGGTACAGAAACATTTCCGCAGCATTGAAGGTCCCAATGAGCACAGTGGTCTCCATCATCCGTAAATGGAAGGAGTTTGGAACCACCAGGAATCTTCCTAGAGTGAGCTGCCCGGCCAAAATGAGCGATGGAGGGAGAGGGCCTTAGCCAGGGAGGTGACCAAGCACCCGATGGTCACTCTGAAAGAGCTCCCAGTGGAGAGAGGGGAACCTTCCAGAAGATCAACCATCTCTGCAGCTCCACCAATCAGGACTGTATGTAGAGTGGCCAGACGGAAGCCACTCCTCGGTAAAAGGCAAATGGCAGCCCGCCTGGAGCTTTCCAAAAGGCATCTGAGGGACTCTCAGACCATGAGAACCAAAACTCTCTGGTCTGATGAAACAAAGATTGAACCCTTTGGCCTGAATGCCGAGCGTCATGTCTGGAGGAAACCAATCACCGCTCACCACCTGGCCAATACCATCCCTACTGTGAAGCATGGTGGTGGCAGCATCGTGATGGGGGATGGAACTGGGAGACGAGTCAGGATGGAAGGAGAGATGAATGCAGCAATGTACAGAGACATCGTTGATGAGAACCTCCTCCAGAGCGCTCCGGACCTCAGACTGCAGCGACGGTTCATCTACCAAGAGGACAACAACCCTCAGCACACGGCCCACATCACAGAGGAGTGGCTACGGGCCAACGATGGGAATGTCCTGGAGTGGCCCAGCCAGAGCCCAGACTTGAACCCGATTGAACCTCTCTGGAGAGATCTGAAAATGGCTGCACACCGACCCCCACCCCACCCCCCCCCCCCCCCCCCCCCCCCCCATCCAACCTGATGGAGCTGAGAGGTCCTGCAAAGAAGAACGGGAGAAATTGGCCAAAATCGGTGTCCAGGCTGGTAGCCTCACCCTCAGAACGACTCGAGGCCGGAATGGGGGCTAAAGGGGCTTCAACCAAGGATGGGGCGGGGGCTGGGAAGACTTATGTACATGGGGGGGGGAATACTTATGTACATGGGGGGGGGGATACTTATGTACATGGGGGGGGGGGGGGGGGAATACTTATGTACATGGGGGGGGGGATACTTATGTACATGGGGGGGGGGGGGATACTTATGTACATGGGGGGGGGAATACTTATGTACATGGGGGGGGGGGGGATACTTATGGGGGGGGGGGGAATACTTATGGACATGGGGGGGGGGTACATGGGGGGGGGATACTTATGTACATGGGGGGGGGGATACTTATGTACGGGGGGGGGAAATACTTATGTACATGGGGGGGGAATACTTATGGACTGGAAATACTTATGGACATGGGGGGGGGGGCTGGGAAATAGTTATGTACATGGGGGGCTGCGAATACTTATGGACAATGGGGGGGGGGGGGAATACTTATGGACATGGGGGGGGAATACTTATGGACAGGAATACTTTATGTACGGGGGGGGGAATACTTATGGACATGGGGGGGGGGCTGGGGGAATACTTATGTACATGGGGGGGGGAATACTTACCCCATGACCAACCAATGGGGGAGGAGGATACTTATGCAGTCTGTTCCACTCAACATAACATGGGGGGGGGGGAATTTTATGGACATGGGGGGGGAATACTTATGGCCCATGGGGGGGGAATACTTATGGACATGGGGGGGGGGGGCTGAATACTTATGGACATGGGGGGGGGCTGGAGAATCTACTTATGGACTACCACGGGGGGAGCTAACACTCTAATGTCCCCTCCCCCACAGTCCATCAGTCTCTGCCACAGTCCCATCTCTAAGAGGAGCTTACACTCCCCTAATGTCCCCTCCCCCACAGTCCCATCAGTCTCTGTACCTGAGGAGCTTACATCTAATGTCCCCTCCCCCCACAGTCCCATCAGTCTCTGTACCAGAGGAGCTTACACTCTAAATGTCCCCTCCCCCACAGTCCCATCAGTCTCTGTACCAGAGGAGCTTACAGTCCACATCTCTAATGTCCCCTCCCCCACAGTCACAAAATCAGTCTCTGCACCAGAGGAGCTTACACGCTCTAATGTCCCCTCCCCACAGTCCCCATCAGTCTCTGTACAGAGGAGCTTACACTCTAATGTCCCCTCCCCCCACAGTCACATCAGTCTCTGTACCAGAGGAGCTTACACTCTAATGTCCCCTCCCCCCCACAGTCACATCAGTCTCTGTACCAGAGGAGCTTACACTCTAATGTCCCCTCCCCCACAGTCACATCAGTCTCTGTACCAGAGGAGCTTACGCTCTAAGTCCCCTCCCCCCACAGTCCCATCAGTCTCTGTACAGAGGAGCTTACACTCTTAATGTCCCCCCTCCCCCACAGTCACATCAGTCTCTGTACCAGAGGAGCTTTACACTCTAATGTCCCCCCCCTCCCCCGCAGTGTCACACTATGATTATACATGTATATAGCTCTGACATATACCGCAGCGCTGTACAGATGACATCATCATTCCACAAAGTGCTGACTGACTCCTCCCTCTCTCCTCCCCGGCAGGTCCATGATGCCTCAGTGCCCGGCGGCCGGCAGCAGTGGTGACCCCGAAGTGACGGATGACTCCCCCCTGGACTCCGCAGACAGATGGGTTGGTCTGTGCGATGTGACCCGGCCCGAGCGCACGCCACTCATTCACAACACAGAACATGAGACCGGCTCCTCCCACATTGAGGGGGATCAAAAGGGTGAAGAAGGCGGGCCCAATTAATGACGAGAGCCGCCCTACACGGGGCGCAGCGCCATCCCTGTCCCAGAGGTGCCCGGAGAGGGGTGTGACCCGACACCATGACACTCAGGTGAGAGGATGGATTTGGGGATTCAGCAAACATGCCATTCAGTCTATGAGCGATCCTCAGGGGAGGGTCATACAGACAGCTCCTCCTCCTCTGAAGTCAGGGGCAGTCCACTTCTCGCCCAGCCAGGCATACATCTTTATGGGAGGAGCCTGGGGTCGGTTGTATGTTTGTCGTAGATCTGTGGTCAGATTTCCCCGGAGTTGCTCTGTATATGGAGTGAGCGGAGCTGGAGGGCCGGACAGATATCCTCCAATCACACGGCCAGAAGACTCGTACGATGTCCTGTGGTGACCAATTCCCCCTTTACCTGGCTGTACACACCCCTACTCTCAGGTCAGGAGCAGCCTTGGGGCCGGGGCCCCCCAACAGGACACCCAATAGGATATGTTTTCCAGTCTTCCTGGACCCCCCATATGGGGATCACGTGGCCCTCCCCCCTCCTCCCACAATGCAGTGCTGGGCTCTAGCCTGGTACTTCCAGGTATGGGGATCACGTTGCCCTCCCCCCTCCTCCCACAATGCAGTGCTGGGCTCTAGCCTGGTACTTCCAGGTATGGGGATCACGTGGCCCTCCCCCCTCCTCCCACAATGCAGTGCTGGGCTCTAGCCTGGTACTTCCAGGTATGGGATCACGTGGCCCTCCCCCCTCCTCCCACAATGCAGTGCTGGGATCTAACCTGGTACTTCCAGGTATGGAGATCACGTGGCCCCCTTCTCCCACAATGCAGTGCTGGGTTTTCTAGCCTGGTACTTCCAGGTATGGGGATCACGTGGCCCTCCCCCCTTCTCCCACAGTGCAGTGCTGGGTTCTAACCTGGTACTTCCAGGTATGGAGATCACATGGCCCTCCCCCCTTCTTCCACAATGCAGTGCTGGGCTCTAGCCTAGTACATCTAGGTATGGTGATCATGTGACCCACCCCCGTATCTCACATTGATGGGTTCTAGCTTGGTACTTCCAGGTATGGAGATCACATGACCTCTCCAACAATGCAGTGCTGGGTTCTAGCCTGGTACTTCCAGGTATGGAGATCACATGACCCTCCTCCCACAATGCAGTGCTGGGTTCCAGTCTGGTACTTCCAGGTATGGAGATCACATGACCCTCCTCCCACAATGCAGTGCTGGGTTCTAGCCTGGTACTTCCAGGTATGGAGATCATGTGACCCTCCTCCCATGCTCCCACAATGCTGTGCTGGGTTCTGTCCTGGTACTTCCAGCTATGCAGATCACATGCCCCTCCTCCACCACCATCAGTGAACACCCCTCCCTGTGTAGGAGGAGCTCCTCCAGCAGTCGGTTGGGCTCCATGTTCGGGGCCCATTGACATGTTTGCTGCGTGTTACCATGTGTTGTGCCATAGAGCAGACCACACGCATGGCGTCGCGGCACCCTTCACAATGGCGAGCGCGTTACTGCAGCGCAGAAGTCTCAATGGGCGCTTCCATTTTTTGAGGTGCGACAACTCGCGGTGCAGCGACCATTTGGGGCCATAAAACCCGAAACGTCAAAAATCGAACATTTTTTTTTATTTCTTTTCCGCTTATATTCGACCCGTTTCGGGAACGTAATTTCAATGGGCGGGCCTTAACGCGCCAGGAAACCACAAGGGTCCATTCAGACCTCGGCGCTGTGCGGACGCGTGCGTCGGCGCCCTTTGCTGGAGTCGCTGCCTCGGGGCACCGATTAGAATGAATAGCACCGCAGCGCGGCGTTGTGGCGTCTTCTCGCACGCATGACGACAACGCGAGGATGTGAGCGGGCCCCCGCGTCCTACCAGGGCGGCTCCAACATACGGCGCTGGGATTGCTGCGGGCGACTGGGAAACTTCCTCCAGGCCCCCCATCCCCCGACCTGCGCACCCCACCGC